AGATAGATAGATAGATAGATAGATAGATAGATAGATAGATAGATAGATGATAGATAGACAGACAGACAGACAGACAGAAGATAAGAGATAGACAGGCATAAGATAGATAGATAGATAGAAGATAGAGATAGAGAGACAGAAGATAGAAATAGACAATAGGGATAGATAGACAGAAGAGATAGATAGACAGACAGACAGACAGACAGAAGATAGAGGTAGAAGATAGAGATAGGTAGATAGACAGACAGACGATAGAGATAGATAGACATAGATGGAAGATAAGAGATAGATACCCTGTTTCTCCAACAATACGGCCTCCCCCAATAGGAAGTCCCAGCATGTTTTATAGGCATGAAATTAAGCCCCTCTCCCCAAATTAAGGCCTATATTAAAACATGTGAAATGGGGGGGGAATGGTGGGGGGGGGGCTTGCCGTTAGGAAGTACTTTTGTGGCACACCCGGATATGGTGCTGCCTGCGTTGATCCTGATACGAAGTGCCCCACCAACGCCGAGGTCAACATCCAAGCCGTCGCTGCCCACCCGCCCGAAGATGCAAGGGGGGGGGAATTAAGTCACCCCCGAAAAGACGGCCTAGCCATTTTTTCGGGGTTCAAAAAAAAAAAAAAGACCCGGCCTTATTATATGAGAAACACGGTAGATAGAAGATGGAGATAGACAGAAGATAGAAATAGACAGTCAATAGAGATAGATAGACAGTCAACAGAGATAGATAGATGATAGATAGGTAGGTAGGTAGGTAGGTAGGTAGGTAGGTAGATGGATGATAGATATAGACAGATAGAGTTAGACATAGATGATGGATGGATGGATGGTAAGTAGATTAGTTAGATGATAATGACAGATGATTGCTAAATATAGATTGATTGATAGATAAGATAGAGATGATAGGTAGACAGATGATTGACAAACAGACAGACAGATAGGTAGGTAGGTAGCTAGGTAGGTAGGATAATTAAGATTTAGATGATAGGTAGAAAGTTGAGGTGATAGGGTTGGGGAGAGAGAGATATTAGATAGATAGAGATAATTGACAGACCAAAAGCCATTGAGAAAAGGAAGGGAAGGAAGGGTATTTCTGGATATATAGAGTGGATGAATTTAAATTGAGAATATGCAGAAACTCTTCCTTGAGAGAATGGGGCCCAGCATTCCAGTTATCAACCTTAAGGAGAGATGTTAGGCAGGATATGTTGTGTAGTTAAAGAGCTATGAATGTGTTGGTGCAACACATGGTAGAATTCTTCGATACGTGACTGGATGCGAAGCCATCAGATGTCAAAGTTAGTCTTCTAAGGCCACTGCTATTAACTTTGACATCTGGAAAGTGTGTAGAATTATATTCAAATTATTTCATTTATTTATTTCAATCAATCATGCATACCCCTTCCTCCACCCCCACCCCCTTTTAGGATACTCATCAAACCACATTATAAAAACAAAAGCTAAGCAAACACCAGCAGGCAATATTATATTAGTTGTCACTCAAAAGCAAAAAGGTGAAAATCAATTAGCCTTTTATGAATGAACTTGCATTTCTATTTTCATTTTTAGTGTGTGCAGAAGCATATAATCCCGATGAAGAAGAAGATGATACTGAATTGAGGGTATGTACACCCAGGAAATAAAATATCTTTCAGAAAAATATGTTCCTGAAAAAATAGTGTTAAAAAGTTTTTTTTTAAACACACTCACATACACTATATTTGTGTATCTATATAACTAGGCATTTGTAAAATGCAATGCATGATTAAAATACTCTCCCTATTACTTTGATTGAAACTTTTCTTTAAACAATGGGAAATTTAAGATTGGCATATTATTTTCATTCGGGTTCTTCATATTTGTAATAATGAGATTTAAAAACCTTTCTCATTTTGTTCACAAAAATGTAAGAACACATCTGTATTCATTTGGATTATGCCTGGTCCTTTGGAAGTCAACTTCTGCCAAAAGTGGTCTCAAGAAAACCTTAACTTATAATGATTTCTTCCAGGTTATTCACCCCAAAACAGATGATCAAAGAAACAGGCTGCAGGAAGCTTGCAAAGACATTCTCCTGTTTAAGAACTTAGACCAGGTAAGAATTACTTTTTATGCAGTGACGCTATCTATAACTACCGTATTTATCGGCGTATAACACGCACAGGCGTATAACACGCATCTTCATTTTAAGAGGGAAATTTCACCCCCACTACCACCCCGCGCGCGCGCTTCAATCCACAGTGTCCCATTCTGCCTGCCTGCCTGCCTGCCTTAGTTTCTGGTTGTTTGGGAGCAGCTTCGGCTGAGAATAATAACTATTCGCCTCTTTTACTCAGCCGAAGCTGTTCCGATTCAACCATTAACGAAGGCAGGCAGGCAGGCAGAACGGAGCACTGCGGGCGGGCGGGCGGGCGGGCGGGGGGGGGGGGAGAGGCGGGAAACGCCCCCCCCCCCCCGCTTCTTTGAAGCAGTTTCTTCCTGTGCTGGTGGAGGAGCGAGAGAGCGACTGAGAGAGCTGACCCAGAGAGAAGGACAGGCTTCGGTTGCTTCCTCCCTCCCCTTCTTTCATTTGTGTCCTTGATCCCCGATCCCAGCAGCATTCACCGAAGGCTTCTTAACATTATATCGGCGTATAACACGCATACATCATTTGCCCCCTATTTTCAGGGAGAAAAAAGTGCGTGTTATACGCCGATAAATACGGTATGTCTGTCTGCCTGTCTGTCTGTCTGTCTGTTTCTCTCTCTTCCTCTCCCCCTCTAGAGAGAGAGAGAGAGAGAGAGAGAGAGAGAGAGACATACATACATACATACCTATATCTCTATATCTATATAGGCATCTGTAAAATCTGTCTGTGTCCGTCCATCCATCCATCCATCCAATTTTTACTGCCGGTTCTGAGGGCATGGCTTGGTGGGTGTGGCTTGGTGGGCATGGTAGGGGAAGGAAACTGCAAAATCTCCATTCCCTCCCCACTCCTGAGGGAAGGTTACTACCAGTTCTCCGAACTACTCAAAATTTCCGCTACCGGTTCTCCAGAACTGGTCAGAACCTGCTGAAGACCACCTCTGATCTCTGTCTGTCTGTCTTATCTATCTGTCTTATCGATCTGTCTTATCTATAGAAAGACATAGATCTATATATCTATATAAGCATCTGTAAAATCTATCTATCTATCTATCTATCTATCTATCTATCTATCTATCTATCTATCTATCTATCTATCTATCTATCTATTATTTATCTATCTACCTATTTATTATCTATCTATTATCTATCTATCTTATCTATCTACCTATCTATTATCTATCTATTATCTATCTATCTATCTATCTATCTATCTATCTATCTATCTATCTATCTATCTATTATCTATCTTATCTATCTATTATTTATCTATCTATCTATCTATCTATCTATCTATCTATCTATCTATCTATTAATTATCTATCTATCTATCTATCTATATCTATCTATCTATCTATCTATCTATCTATCTATCTACTATCTACCTACCTACCTATCCGTCTGTCCGTCCGTCCTCCTGTCCATCTGCCCATCCACTCACCCACCTACCCATCCATCCACCTATCTTGCTTGCTTGCTTGCTTTCTATCTTTCTGTCTTTCTATCTTTCTATGTTAAGTGATGAAATTTTGGAATGTTTTCAGCAATGTTGCAGATGAGACATGAGAGAAGCAAAAAAAAATGAGATATGAACAATGGTTCACACAGTACAGGTAGTCCTCGACTTACAACAGTTCATTTAGTGACCGTTCAAAGTTACGACAGCACTGAAAAAAATGGGACTTAGGACTGTTTTTCACAGTTACGACCTGTGGAGCATCCCCACAATCATGTGATCAAAACCCAGATGCTTGGCAATTGATTCATATTTGCGACGGTTGCCGTGTCCCAGGGTCACGTGTATCCCTTTTGCGACTGTATGACGAGCAAAGTCAATGGGGAAATCCATATTCACTTAACAATTGGGTTACTAATTTAAGAACTGCAGTGATTGATTTATCAACTGCGGTAAGAAAAAGCGTAATATGGGTCAAAACTCACTTAACAAATGTTTCACTTAGCAGCAGAAATTTGGGGCTCCGTTGTGGTTGTAACTCGAGGACTCCCTGTACTTAAAGGGGCTGAATTTGTGTTTTAACCTTGTAACATGTGCAGCTTCTTCATTTTCCCTTTCAAATTTTCTTTAAAAGTTAACCAGCTAAGCCAAGGCCCGGGTAGAAAATTCTCTATCTCATAATTCTGCTAAGGAGAGGGGAGAAGGTGCATTTGGGCTAGAGCCATAGGCTCAGGGGTGGGCTGCTGGGGGGGAGGCTTCACGGGGCTTCGGGTGAGCCCCTAGCTAAGATTCTGTGCAGTTTGAAGAACCCCCAAGTCCCACTCCTGGCTGGCCCCGCCCACCACACCCCTGCCCTCCCCTCCCAGGAATCCCCATGAGGCCCATTTTGGATGCAGGTAAGTGCAGGGCACAGATGGAGGTTTGGGGAGGGCAAAAAACGGGCCTCCCGGAAGTTCGGGAAGGCCGGAAATGGCCCCGTTTCCGGCTTCCAGAGAGCCTCCAGAGTCCGGGGAGGCTGTTTTCATCCTCCTGGAGGCTCGAGGGAAGCCTCCGGAGCCCAGGGAGGGCAAACACCCCTCCTCCCCGCTGTGGTGCAGGTGGCCGACACCCACCCAGCAACCGGGTGGATAACCCATTGCTACAATTTTTGAAGCCCACTCCTGTATAGGCCACTACCGGGTCGTGGGCTAATCGCCCGCGGGCTGCATGAGTGGCTGGCTACCCTATCCTCACTCACGCGAGTGAGCATCATGGTGAACGTTGAGGGCATGTCACGTTGTGCTTGCCCTTCCCACCAAATCATCCCCTCTTTTCCAACCCCCCCCTCCTGCTCTGGACCGCCAACCCCAGAAAGGTTGGGGAACTCTGGGCTGGAGAGAGAGAGAGTTATGGGTCCCGTCTAGCAAAGGGAATGGGACAACCCCAAGACGACTGCTGAGCTTCAGTTTCCAAAGCAACATCTTAGGAAGCAGCAGGCCTTCAAAAGGGATCCTCCTCCTTTGGCCTTCTTGATGAAAGATAAAGCGGATGAATTAATTCGCCGGGTCGGCGACTGCAATAATCAGATATATGGATTCACAGGAGCAGATGTCTCAGGTCCTGGACGCCATGTTTGAGAAGCTGGTGGAAGGAGGAGAGCATGTCATTGACCAAGGAGATGACGGCGACAACTTCTATGTAATTGATCAGTAAGTATCTACAACCAGGGCTGGGCTTCAAAAATTTTAGCAATGGGTTCTCTTCCCGGTTGCTGGGTGGGCGTGGCCTAGTTGGCCTCCTGCACTATTTGGGGGGGGGCGTTTTTGCCCTGCCCGGGCTCCAGAGGTTTTTCTTGAACCTTCGGGAGGGCGAATATGGCCTCCCTGGGCTCTGGGCACCCTCTGGAAGCTGGAAATGGGCCTGTTTTCTGCTTTCCTGAACTTCCGGGAGGCCTGTTTTTCTCCTTCCCCGAGTCTCCACACGCGCCCTACACTTACCTGCATCCAAAACGGGCCGCGAGGGGAGGGGAGGGGAGGGATGGGCGGGGCCAGCCAGGAGTGGGATTTGGGAGTTCTCCAAACTGTGCAGAATCTTAGCTAGGGGCTCTCCCGAACCCCTGCGAACCCACAGCAGCCCACCCCGTCTGTAACAGGGTTGTGAAATTCGATTTCACGGAGGGCCAGATCAGGGTTGTGTTTGACCTCGGTGAGGAGGGGGAGGTGTGATCAGGGTGGGTGTGGCCAGCATGACATCACTTGTGTCGGGGGTGCCTGTGGCCGCCCGAGCGCTCTGCCAGCGAAAACGGGCTCCTGAGCTCCATTTTCGGCTGCCACGGTCTCCTGCAACCCTCAGCCAGTGAAAACAGAGTTTGCGAGGGCCACATGTGGCCCTCGCAAGCTCCATTTTCACTGGCAGAGGCCTCGTGTGATGACCCGGGGCGTGGCACAAAAGCAACAAAATCACAAAAGTAGGTAAAGTCCCTTTAATTCCTCCAACTTGGCCCCCAGTGTCCAATTATCATTCACTGGAGAAAAAACTCTCCCAAGAACAGTTTTTAAAGGGAAGAAATTCTGTCCAAACCCAAGTACATCTAAATTATAAATAAAAACCAACACAAACCATGCTGCAGCAATTAACAAGACAGGGCAGGATAAGGAATTGAAGACTTCAAAAGATAACGAAACATACAGAGTTGGGAGGACGCCAGAACTCAGATAAGACTTGACAAACCAAAATAATTCGCTTTGCTTCCAACAACTTTGCTGTGTGTAGTTTGCCTTTTTAAACAGTTTTCCCAGCTGCAGCCAATGAAGAGGATCAGGGCCCTTTCCTCCCCCTTAAACCACCCAACTCACGTTGCTCCCTTATCCGTTCCTCCGTGCATGCCCTAGAATAAAGAGGGGGTGGGCCTGGGTCTTCCTCTGAATGCCCAGCTGGACTGTGTCGTTCCCCAGTTTTCTCCACAACCTCCGAAGCCACAGTCCCACTCCCTGTCTGCTGTTCCTCCTCTTCCTCGGAATCAGATTCCAACAGGGGCATGACCTTCGCTATTTCCAGCGCTTCAAAACCACTCAAATTTACGATGGACTTCCCCAGAGTTCCTTGTGGCCTGTTTTCAAAGTTGTGTCGGCCATGGCCACATCTCACGCGTGGGCTCACTTGCAGTCGCAAGTTGAGGACTAACTATTTGCGCATGGTGCAAAGGTGCTAAATCTTACGGAGAGTTTATCCCTCCAAGTTTGGTTGTGTGGAATAAATAACGTTTTAACGAGGCAAATATTGCCCTTTTCCAATGCTAGCCATCACAGCCGGATTTCATTTTGTGCTTTTTAGAGGGAACTACAATATTGTCGTGAAATGCGACGGTGTCGGAAGATGCGTTGGTACCTATGACAACCGAGGGAGTTTTGGCGAATTGGCTTTAATGTACAACACACCCCGAGCGGCTACTATCATTGCTACCTCTTCTGGCACCATTTGGGGTTTGGTGAGATATTATGCTTTCCTGTTGGGTCCTTGGGGCTCTCTGAGCTTGGAGATTTTCTCACTGACGTTTCATTACCAAACTAGGTAACGTCATCAGTGCCTCCATAAACAATTCAAAGCAAGTGGAAGATTTTCTGAATCATCTTTTAACAACCCCATAACCCTTTGCGGGAGTGGAGTCTGGGCAACTGAATGGAGCTGAGGGTTTACTGGCCGGATGCTCTTCCTGTCACCAGTGCGGAGTTCTATTCAGCAGATATATTCCCAGTGTACCCAGAGAGAGAAATATCTGCCTCTCCCTTGGATTGAACTCGCAGTCTCCTGTTTGTGAGGCAAGAGCTCCAACTCTAGGTCAACGCACCGCTCATCCATGCCTATAATATTGCTCCAAAACAAGGGGAGAGTTTTGCCAGCTTCACCAGTATGAGAAATTACAAAAGAATTTGAATCTAGGAGATCCCAGATATGGGTGTGTATGTGTGTGTGTCACAGAATCAAGAATGACAGCCACAACTGTGAAGTCAAAACCCTGCCCTAAAAGTACACTAAAAAGGGTGATGTTTGAACTTTTGGGGAGGGAGATTGACACTCTTGCAGATGCCCCCGTTTGAATCTATTAGTACATGGAGCTGATTGCACAGAATGTGCATGATAGCTTGTGTGGGAGAAAGAGGATGAGAAGAACTCCTCCCTAACAGTTCCCAGAGTCTATGCTTTATAGTGCAAGCAGTCTGCTTTAGTTTGGCAAGATTCTGTCTGTAGGTGAGGAACAATAAAAGAACACACTTAGATAATTTCTACAGGAGTACCTTGTTACTTGATTGCTTTGAAACTCATCAAATTTGGTACTCGACGCATTTTGATGCCAAACTTTTGTCCTGGTCCTCATCATTTGTTTGGTACTCAACGCACAAGCTAGAAGATGTCGGGTGCCTTGTGACTCACAACATTATTCCTTACAGCAGGAGGGTCAAACTCACGTCATCACAGTGGCATCACATGACGTATCACGACTTTTCCCCCCTTCGCTAAACAGGGCCTGCGCATGGCCAGTTTGATGACTCAGAGTATCTCAGAAATATAACAAAACCCAAAACGTAACTAAAAGTCCTGTAATGCCTTCAACTTGGCTTCACTGTTTAATTGTCCACAGTGGAGGAGTAAACTATTTTCAAAATAACATTTCAAAGGAAAGAAACACAGTTCAAATTCAAAGAGCCGATAACGAAGCAAAAACCAAAACCAAACCGCATTGAATAAAGTTCCTTGACAGACCAGAATAGATAATTGCCAATTTCAGGAAGATAACCAGGGATAGTCCGTTGGAAGAACGCCAACCAATATAAACCTTCTTTAGGCATAAAACACTAATTTGACTCCAGCATCTGTTAGCAGGCAGGTCCAAACTCTTATGCAAATCTCCCACCTGCAACCCATGAAGAGGATCATGGCCCTCTCCTCCCGAGTAGACCATGTTTTTACCCTGATCCTCTCCTCCCTGCATGCCCTAGGATGGAGAGGGGATGGGCCTGGGTCCTCCTCTGACTGCTCAGCCGGCCTCTGCCCTTCCCCAGCCTCCTCCACAACCTCCGGAACCACACTTCCGCTCCCTGTTGGCTGTTCCTCCTCTCCCTCAGAGTCAGTCTCCACCAGAGGCATAACAGCCAGCGCATAACACATTCAGCCCGCAGGCTGCAAGTTTGACAGCCTTGCCTTATGGGAAATATATGTTTTGTACTTATCGTTTTGGTTACTCATCGCCCCTCAGTTAACGAGTACCCAGGTATCTTGGTTTTTGGAACCTGACAACTTAACTGAGAATTAAAACAGCCCACTGAACATGGTTAGGCTTACCCCTGTGCAAATACACATCAGGTTCTTGAACACCCGCACCAGAGCATGTACCATTCTCTGCCATGAAAAAACTGCTTGCATTGTTGTGAATATCACACCCTTTAACTATTATTTATGTATTTTTTTATTTGATTTTTTTTTAGGACAGAGTAACATTTCGAAGGATCATTGTGAAAAACAATGCGAAAAAGAGAAGAATGTATGAAAATTTCATTGAGTCGTTGCCCTTCCTTAAATCTTTAGAAGTAAGTGCGGCTCACTAGAGATATTTTAGTCTCTTCGTGCAGAATGTGCTGTTTGATATCAAACAATAATTGTCATGTGCATTTACAGATTTTTGTAATATAACTGACCTTTATATACAGTATATTCAGCGATGTTGTTTGTGAAAGAAGAACAATTTGCCTGTGTAAATCATATCTGTTTTTATCATCAAGGGCTAACAGAGCCAGAGTAAGTTATTCCTGGTTGTATCCCTGGAATCTCGGGAGGTTGTAAGTACAGGTAATTCTCGACTTACAACCATAATTGAGCAAAATATTTATATGAATTAAATGAACTATTGTAAGTTGAGGACTACCTGTATAGACATAGATAAGTCTTGATTCTGGTGCATAAATATTTCTTAATGTGTATCTCTATCGTTAAACTACTGTTGTGAACATTGTGAGGCCTGCCCTTTCTCTTATGAACTTCTTGTACGGTTTTGTTTTCAATTGCTAACTTCCACTCCTAATTTCAAAAATATGCAAGTATTTCTTTTAGAGTAATTTCCACCAAAAAGAATAATTGGTCCCTTTCTTTTTCAACTAAATTGTTGTGACTTTACTGCATTTCTCCTTCATATTTCTAAATATAAAATATCAGCGCGCTATTCCGATTTTTCCAGTCTTATATATTTTTCTAAATAGTGTCTTTAGTTATATTGCTATGGCAAGATCTGTGGGTTCCGAAGTGGGATTTAGCATGAAATTTGAAACTTACATAAAAAGAGATCTATTGCGACATGGGTTCTGAAATGGACGAAATTTGAAATTAATGTAATAAGGGGGGGAAAAACAACTCAAAACTTTGGAATCCATTTCATTGCTTAGCTACAAAACAAATTAAGAGTACCACAGAATTTTACAGCAAGAATTATGATTTCCATTACATTTGTGAGATTATAAAGTGTGTGTGTGTGTGTGTGTGTGTGTGTGTGTGTGTGTATGTGTGTGTGTGTATTTACAAAATCTGTTTTGTTTTCTGTTTAAGCTTTCTGAACGTTTGAAAGTGGTGGACGTGATAGGTACCAAAATATATAAAGATGGGGAACAAATAATAGCTCAGGTAATTATTTAATTGTTCAAGATATATTTATTATTCTGTTGCTCTCTAGTTACTTAAAAGCATGATGACTTGTTACTATAAAGGATTTTCTGAGGCAAAACCAGTGGGATTGAAAAAAATACATAGCTGAAAAAAAGTGGCATTGGTGGATTTGGGGATTTTTTTTTTTTTGAATTTCTACTTTAAAAAAAATACCCAACAATTCTGGAATTACTAAACAACCGTCTTTTATGTTTTTGTTATTCTCAATTATTTGTAGGGAGACACGGCTGACAGTTTCTTCATTGTCGAATCCGGAGAAGTGAAAATAACAATGAAAAGAAAGGTACCATCCTTCAAGAAGTATTAAAACGGTTTTTCAGTCGACTCGGTTAAGATCAGTACTGAATAGAAATAACGTATTAATAAATAAATAAATAATGCACTAATTTATTGATAAAATTATTTATCAATTAAAATAATAAAATGGATGTTAGCTTGACTTTATTGAGATAAATGTTTGGGTGCTTTTTTTAAAAAAAAAATTTCCCAGGGCAAACAGGACGTAAATGGGAAGGAAGCAGTGGAAATCGCCCGCTATACCAGAGGACAATATTTTGGCGAATTGGCACTTGTAACGAACAAACCACGAGCTGCCTCGGCCTTCGCGCTTGGCACGGTCAAATGCTTAGGTAAGGCAGAGGGCTTGCATTTTGGAACATAAGTGGTCTGACCCAGGCTTTGTAAACCGTAATTATTCACAAATATGTTTTAAAAACAAAACTTATTTTATTGCAACTCTGGGAATTGTTTTCATTCCCAGCCGGAATTAATCTCAAACAGTCCCCCGAGATAAGCACCCACCTTTCTTTCCTGTGAAGTGCTGCCAAAAACAGAAGTATCAAATTAACTAGAAAAAAAACCAACCGAAGTACAAGAAAAACCAGCCAAAGTACAAGGAGCTTCAAGGATGACTCGGAACTGATTGAACGACATTGCTTCCTGCAAAGGTTTCATCATCTTGGCTTGACTTTTATCCCTTATGGGAGGGGCAATCACTTCCCAGCCTTACTCCCGAGTCGCCCCTTTTGTTTCATCTGTTCTCGCCTTCTAGCAGCTCTGCACACACGCACACACTGAGAACAGGCTCCCCTTGTTCCTCTGCCTCACTGCTGCCGGACTCCGGAGGCTCCAGAGGCAGCACCCCACTCCCAGATGGTCCTGGCCCTGCATCGGACGCAGGACCCTCGTCCGAGTCCTCTCCAGACTCCTGGACTGGTCCCCGTTCTTCCCCATTGTCCGATTCCGCTGCCATCTGCACAGGCTGCCGGTGAACCACAACAATAAGTTTGTTTCTGTTTTTTGGTAGCTTTTTTTAATTAAAAAAAATCAGCATAACAAAAATAAAAAAAGTTTATAAAGAAACAAACAAAGAAAAAACAAGACGTTGAAAAAAGTGTATTAAAAAGATACAAACATATACATGTATTATCCCTCTTCCAGTTGAATATTGATAAATATATCTAAACAATATTAGTTCCCCACCCCTTGTAAAACAGACCCAACATTCTTAAACTTCTGTTTGCAAAGGATTAACCTATCATCTATCTACTATATTAATGACAAAATAGTTAACAGGTAGAACAGCAACAAAAAGACAAGATTAAAACTTCCAAACCCTTTGTTAACAAACTACTATTGGGTTCAACTGGTAGAAGTTAAGATGATTTATTGCTTTGGCCTCTACCCAAGAATCTAGTCAATTAATAATCAGCACTAAATTGGGTGCTGGATAAGAGTCAGTGGAATTGAAGGTGGGCTGGATTTGGAGCGCTTCTGGCAATGTAACGATTCTAGGCTTATTCCTCTCTTGACTCCGCCCCCAGGGTCTGCTCTTCTAGTAAATATCAGAAGTTTATTCTTCTGATCTAGAGCTGGCTCAGGAGATAAGAGGTTTCATTGGAAAGAGGGACAAGATTCAACTGGTGCACGGGAAGCTACGCATATCCACTTTTGCATTTTGCTTCATTCATTAATTTTTTAATGGAGATGGATTAAAAGTGTGCCTTCCTTAAACAGTTTCATGGCAGGAATCTGCCCATAAGAAATAATGTACTTGTTGTGGTTCGCCGGCAGCCTGTGCATACGGCAATGGAATCGGACAGTGGGGAAGAACGGGGACCAGTCTGGGCGTCTGGAGAGGACTCGGACGAGGGTCCTGCATCCAATAGAGAGATGGGGCCAGGATCATCTGGGAATGGGGTGCTGCCTCCGGAGCCTTTGGAGTCTGGCAGCAGCGAGGCAGAGGAACAAGGGGAGCCTGTTCCCAGTGCACATGTGCACAGAGCTGCTAGAAGGTGAGAGCAGCTGAAACAAAAGGGTCGACTCGGGAGTAAGGCTTGGAGGTGATTGCCCCTCCCATAAGGTATAAAGGTCAGGCAAAGATGATGAAACCTTTGCAGGAAGCAAAGTTGTTCGTTTGGTTCAGATTCATTCTTGAAGCTCTTTGTACTTCGATTGTTTTTTTTTTTCTAGTTCATTTGACACTTCTCTTATTGGCAGCACTTCACAGGAAAGAAAGGTGGATGCTTATCTTGAGGGACTGTTTGAGATTCATTACCAGCTGGGAATGAAAATAATTCCCAGTATTGCAATAAAACAAGGCTTGTTTTTAAAATAAGAGTGTGTGTAATTATGGTCTTGGAAGCCTTGGTCAGAACAGTACTTTCCTGCCTTCCCCATGGTGTATCTGCATGTGATTTCTCTCTCTTTAATATTCTAGTTATGGATGTACAAGCTTTTGAAAGGCTATTGGGACCTTGCATGGAGATTATGAAAAGGAACATCGCCAACTATGAAGAACAACTGGTTGCACTGTTTGGAACCAACATGGATATTTCCGAGCCCAGTGTGTGAAGAATGGAGCCATCATCACACAACCTGTGTATGACAAATAGCACAGTAGTGGTTAGCCCACTGAACATACATCTTCTCTTCCTGTAGATGCTAAGCATTGTTCTTGATTCTACAGGGGCTTCGATTTCTTTGCGCCCCTGTCTCAATTATTTTATTTGCCTTTTTTCTTTTGTACAAAGTCATTCAGACATATCGGTACATGGAGTAGACAGATTATTCGAAGGGGCCTTCCTTAAAAGCATTTGGTCCACCGGCACTTCAGCTTTCCAAGAACATCAGGTTTATAAGCCTTCGTTTGGCAATGCACAACCTTCTACAAGCAGTCCCCAGCTTACAAGAGTTCATTTAGTGACCGTTCAGAGTTAACAGCGGCACTGGAAAAAAGTGGCTTAGGACCATTTTTCACACTTAACGACCATTGCGGCCTCCTCATGGTCACGTGATTTACACTGGAATGCTTGGCAACTGACTCACATGATGGTTGCAGCATCCCTGGGGGTCATGAGGTTGTGACCTTCTGACAAGCAAAGTCAACATTATTTAACAATGGTGTTACTAATTTAACAACTGCAGTGATTCCCTTAACAAAGGTGGCAAGAAAAGTTGTAAAACGAGGCAAAACCTACTTAACAAATTTCTCCCCTTAACACCATACATTTTAGGCTCAATTGTGGTCGTAAGTTGATGTGTGATGTTATAGATTGGGAAGGATTTTTCACTTGTAGAAAAAGTTAGCGGCTTTTCTAAAATCACTTAGAAGTCTTTCGTTTAAGCGTCTGTGAAGATTCTCGGTCATCCAGGTCAGGGTTGTCCCAAATGTGCTTTTTCAGAAGACAACTGGACTTTCTGGTTTTTTCTTTAAAGACATTTCGCTTCTCCTCCAAGAAGCTTCTTCAGTTCTGACTGAACCGAACAAGCTTCTTGGAAGGAGGAGCGAAATGTCTTCAAGGAAAAAACAAAAGCCCAGTTGCCTTTTGATAAAAGCCCCTTTGGGATGTGTCCAGGGGTGGGATTCTACCGGTTTGGACCGGTTCGGCCAAACCCCTTGCTCCGAAAAGCAGCTGGCAGCGAACAGGTTCGCTGCGACTATCATGTGGGCCAATGGTGGTATGTTACCGGTTTGGACCGGTTCTACCAAACTGGTAGTGAAAAAAAGCCGACGATCAGCTGACAGGAGGGGGGAAAAATCCTCTGACAATCAGCTGAGGGAAAAAAGAGAAAAGCATAGGATTGGCCCTCCCACCTGCCCCTGCGCTTTTCTTTATCCCCTCAGCTGATTGGCGCTGCAGGTCTCAGCTGGTGTGGAGGATGCTGCGCGCCGGCGTTAGGCAAAGCACCCCTCTAAGCTGTGCCCATTGAACCAGTGGTAAAACAATTTGAATCCCACCACTGATGTGAGCCTGCCTGTCCGCCCCTGCGCTTTATCTACTTATATATCGTCTCAGCTGATTAGCACGGCACAACGGATTGCCGCTTCTCAGCTGTGTTATTTGAGTGCTGCGGGCGCAAATCCCTCGTTCACTGAACCGGTTGTTCAGCCTGGAGAATCCCACCCCTGGATGTGTCATTTAAGAAGTCCAAGGTACACAGTATTGCAATGTAAACATATGTGCAAACCAACGACGTCTTTTTTATCTTAACCTGTCTAATTGTGAGTCTCTTTTTGAAATTTAATAGATTTGGGAATAAATCCCTTTTTCTTCGAGCAAATGGCCGGTGTCGTTTTCTGAAAGAAAAGCCCAGATTCATCTCGGCATCTCTTTGACACAATATCGCAGATGTTTGGTGGATCAAACTCGTTCCTATTTAACGATGTATTTTTTTGTGTGCGTGTGTAAATTATCCCAGAAACTCATTTGGAAAAGTACTGCAGAAATAAAATTTCATTTTTTTGTCCACATGTCCAATGAAAGTGATAGCTTAAGGTTGTTTAGGGTACCCGAATGCACGAACGCGGTCTAGGAGAGATTAGATTGTACATATTTTGATTTGGTAGCTGGTTGAATCGGTATTCAAGGTGGCTTTTTTTTTTTTAAATGTATTTGAAAAAAAAATAAGATAAAAGCATGGCCTTGTGTTCTGGGTAAATTTTATGACCCCTGTCTGGTCTCAGTCTGTCCGATTATTACCCCCCCTTTTTTTTTACACCAACCATGTTTTATAAGATTTCGTCCTTTCTCTACGAAGGACCAGTGGTGGTATGCTAATGGTTCGGCCTGATTCTGCCGAGCCAGTAGCGGTGATGAGCAGCAGAGACCAAATCGGTTCTCTCCACCGCTCTGCTGTTGGGCCCACCCGCCTGCCCGGGCTCCCATACTCGCTTTTAATCTTCTGCTTTTGAAGCGCAGCTGCTTTGCGCGGCACAAAAGAGTGCCACGCGGCAGCTGCTGAAGCAGCCGGGACAGTGCAGGCTTGCAGGAGGTGAGTTGGAATGCCTCTTCGCCTGCACGCAAAGTGTGTGCACGTGTGCAAAGCGCGCTCACAGAGCCACGCCCACCGAACTGGTGGTAAAAATTTTTGAATCCCACCACCGCGAAGGACGCTTGTGTACCCCTTCCAGAATGTGGCAGGTTTACGATGATGCTGTATAGTTTCTCGCTGTTGTACTTAACTATGGATGTGTACTGTTTTTCACACCTGAGAACAATTGTTACCTGTGCACTGGTGAAAAGGCAAAAGGCAATTTGATTTCATAACGGGCTTGTGGTTATGTTTTAACCGGAAGAATCTCCCTTGAATTGAGCAAAACTCCTTATTTCACGGATACAGCCAGTATTATTATTTCACGAATAACACTCAGTAGCAATATGGAAGGTTGATCTTGGTTGCTTTTTGGGGCTGTTCTTCACTTTCCTTTCTTTAGCCTGCAACCCTGGTTCTTCCAGGGGGTTCCTGTCCAAATACAGGTAGTCCTCGACTTACGACAGTTCACTTAGTGACCATTTGAAGTTACAACGGCACATAAAAAAGGGACTTATGGCCATTTTTGTCACGCTGATGTCCCGTTGCAGCATCCTCATGGTCACATGAATAAAATTGGGATGCTTGGCAAACTGTCTCATATTTGTGACAGTTGCAGTATCAACGGGGGAAGCCAGATTCACTTAACAACCAGGTTGCTAACTTATCAACTGCGGCAATTCCCATAATAACCGGGCTAATAATCACTGCAATAATTCGCTTAACCAAAGTGACAGGAAAAGTTGTAAAACGGGGCAAAACTCAATGTCTCGCTTATTGACTTGAATTTTGGCTCAGTTGTCATAAGTCGAGGACTAACTGTCCTAGGCTCCTTCCCAATTTAAATTTATGAGGTGAGCCAAAGTCAGCTAGGTGCCACGGTCCAGCTAGGCGGCCTCCTGCTACTGGCATATATGTACAGGCAGTCCTCGACTTACAACGGTTCATTTAGTGACCATTCAAAGTAACGGCACTGAAAAAAAAGTGACTTATGACCGTTTTTCGCACTTAAAACCATTGCACATCCCCAGGATCATGTGATCAAAATTCAGACGCTTGGCAACTGATTTATATTTATGACGGTTGCCGTGTCCTGAGGTCATGTGATTCCCTTTTGCGACCTTCTGACAAGCAAAGTCCATGGGGAAGCCCAATTTGCTTAACAACTTACTAAATCACCACAGTGATTTGCTTAACGACGGTGGCAAAAATGTCATGAAATGGGGCAAAACTCACTTAACAACTGGAAATTTCGGCTTCAATTGTAAATTGAGGGCTACCTGTATAGTAATTTTCATGTCTAATTTTCACTTTTGACTGGCAGTCATACTACCTAAATGTTAACTTTAGATTGGTTCAAAACGCCCATGAAGGAAAGAAGAACGTATTTCAGTCTTCCTTGGGGGGGAAAAACAATACGTGAATGTATGTTCTTTCAACAAAATATAGTGTTGTTTTAAAACAGATGGCATGGAGTTTCTTCCTTCTTGGCTAGAAGGGAAAATGGTATTAGCTATCAAACACAATGGATGGTAATGCACCAGAATAATAGAATAACAGAACAGAATAACAGAGTTGGAAGGGACCTTGGAGGTCTTCTAGTCCAACCCCTCTGCTCAGGCAGGAAACCCTATACCATTTCAGACAAAGGGTTATCCAACATCTTTAAAACCTGTTGTTTTGTTGTGTTGGAGAATTCACAACTTCTGAAGGCAAGTTGTTCCACTGATTAATTGTCCTCCCAGTTAGGAAGTTTCTCCTTAGTTCTAGGTTGCTTCTCTCCTGGATTAGTTTCCATCCGTTGCTTCTTGTCCTGCCTTCAGGTGCTTTGGAGAATAGCTTGACTCCCTCTTCTTTGGGGCAGCCCCTCAGATATTGGAACAATACTATCATGTCTCCCCTAGTCCTTCTTTGCATTAAACTAGGCATAACCCAATTCCAGCAACCTGTATATTTAATAGCAATTGGTACGGGAAAGTCCTTACACGACAGTATTATTAGTATTGTATAATTTTTATCACATAGGATGATATCAATGTGACAACATTTTTATATAATCTTGATAAAAGTATTTTTATTGATCAGTGAGAAAAAGTTAATTTGTTATGGTTTGGAGGGAGTAATTAGATAAGAAGGTAAACCTTTATTGTCACTTTTTCCTATGAACACACTGGCACACAGTTTTTTAAAAAAATGAAATTCTGAGGCCAGAATTAGGCGAGTTAAGTGGGTGGCCGCGATACAGAGAACTATGCAATTAGTTTAAAAGGTTAAGGAAAGTGTTAGAAAGTGTGTTCATTCTAAAATAAAAGTCACTCATTGTATGGAATAAATGTCTTTTAAAAGAGACCTTCAGATACCTTCTGATGAAGCATGAAGGGGATTTTAAAAAAAAACCACTTTAAGAAATTATCATATTTAAAGTTCCCTGGTTCCTGCTCTACCATATATCACAGTGGTGGCTAACCTTTTTGGGCTCCTGTGCCAAAAACTGTGCATGCGCTTGCACACTTGCACTTGCGTGCCAGCACCCAGAAGGCAATGCGCCCCCATGCACTTTACGCATGCGCACGCAATCCCCACCCATCCCCTCCACCCCCTTACCTGCACTGCACCTCACAGCTGATTTTCGGTGGGTTTGAGGCCTTTTTTGGCCTCCCAAAGGCTTGAGTAAAACTTCTGCAGGCTTCTGCAGGCTTTGCAGGCCGAAAACTAGCCCCGTTTCGTTACTCCCTGTTTTTCCGAAAATACCAGAAGTGATGAAACGGAGCTAGTTTTTGGCCTGCAAAGCCTGCAGAAGCCTTCCTCAAGCCTTTGGGAGGCCAAAAAAGGCCTCAAACCTGCCAAAAATAATCTTTAAAGCACACATGTGCAGTGAGGTAAGTTTGCCTGCAGCTTGCATGCCGGCACAAATGGCTCTGCGTGCCATCTATGGCACACGTGCCATAGGTTCACTATCATGGATATATCAGTTCTGAACTGTTCACATTAAATATTCAGAGTTATTTTGTAAAATGCTATAATACTGGAAGTCCTCGACTTACAACAGTTCCTTTAGTGACCGTTTAAATTTACAACGGCACTGAAAAAAGTGACTGATTTTCACAATTACGATCTTTGCAGCATTCCCACAGTCACATCGTCCAAATTCCATGCTTGGTAATTGGGTTCATACTTATGACCGTTGCTGCGGTTCCCTATTTGCAACCTTGTGACAAGCAAAGTCAATGGGGAAGCAAGATTCACTTAGCAACTGGGGTTACTAACCTCAACGGCAGTGATTCACTTAACAACCGAGGGAAGAAAGGCCATAAAATATGGGGCAAAACCTAACAGCAAATATTTAGGGCTCCATTGTGGTCGCAAGACGAGGATTACCTGGAGTTTCAGTTAAAACAAACGAAAGCCCAGTTCAACTATGGTATATATTTCAAACTCAGTAATCAACATTACATTTGATAATATATTTGAAGTGCTTCAGACTTCTGCCCTATTGTCGAATAACCTTGTCGACTGTAATGAGTGTTAGGGCCCTATCCCTTGTGAACACACTTCCCCAGTAACTTAAGTCAATTCACTTCAGGGTTGGTTGTATTGATGAGGGGATTTTAATGTACTTTTAGGACTTTTGATGGACAATCCATAGATACCAACCATGGCATGAAAAGTCGTAAAGAGGGGCGAAATTCACGTAACAAATTGAATAGAATAACAGAGTTGGAAGGGACCTCAGAGTCCTTCTAGTCCAACCCACTACCTAGGCAGGAAACCCTACACCACTTCAGACAAGTGGTTATCCAACATCTTCTTAAAAACTTTCAGTGTTGGAGCATTCACACCCTCTGGAGGAAAGTTGTTCCACTGGTTTAATTGTTTTAGGTGTCAGGAAATTCCTCCTTAGTTCTAGGTTGCTTCTCTCCTTGATTAGTTTCCACCCACTGCTTCTTGTCCTGCCCCCAGGTGCTTTGGAGAATAGCTTGACTGCCTCTTCTTTGGGGCAGCCCCTGAGATATTGGAAGACTGCTATCATGTCTCCCCTAGTCCTTCTTTTCATTAAACTGATAGACATACCCAGTTCCTGCAACCGTTCTTCATTATATTTTAGCCTCCAGTCCCCTAATCCTCTTGGTTGCTCTTCTCTGCACTCTTTCCAGAGTCTCCACATCTTTTTTACATCGTGGTGACCAAAACTGAATGCAGTATTCCAAGTTTGGCCTTACTAAGGCATTATGAAGTAGTATTCACACTTCCCTCTGTTTATGCAGCCTAGAACTGCATTGGCTTTTTTGGCAGCTGCTGGACACGGCTGGCTCATATTAAAATGGTTGTCCACTAAGACTCTGATATCACCTCTCACAGTTTACTACTATTGAGCAAAGTACCACCTATACTGTACCCTGTGCATTTGATTTTTCTTGCCTAAGTGTAGAACCTGACTTTTTCACCATTGAATTTCATTTTGTTTGATAGCGCCCAGTGTCCAAGTCTGTCAAGATCCTTCTGTATCTTAAGCCTATCTTCTGGAGTGTTGGCTATTCCTGCCATGTCTCACTTAATAACATAAATTTCCGGCTCAGTTGCGGTCGCACGTCGAGGGCTAGCTGTATTTGGGGACATCTCAACAAACATAGCTAGGGCATCCTGTCCTGGTTGTGATGAGGTCAAAACGTTAAGTTGCTCAGGTAACTGAAGTCGTTTATTTTATCCCCCTTTTATTATTTTTATAGATAACTCAAGGTGGCAAATATACCAATACTCCTCTCTCCTCCTATTTTCATCACAACAACCACCTTGTGAGGTAAATTGAGCTGAGAGCCCAAAGTCACCAAGCCAACTTTCATGGCTTAAGGCGGAACTAGAACTCCTGTCTCCCAGTTTCTAGCCTGATGCCTTAAACACCAGACCAAATGCCTACTGGGGGTCAACCCAAATAGCTCAATAGTGGACTATCTGATTGGCAAAACATAAAATTAAACCTTACACCTCTATTAAAAAGGATCTTGGAAAACTGAGGCGGAGATGATTAACCTGTAGTTTTGAGAAACTGAATATAAGAGTTACATTGAAGTAAAGGAAAGCCAATCATTTCATATCTTTTTGAGCTAGCCAAAAGTGGATCAGCTTCCATGAACTACACAAGATTTTCCCTGTTTGTGGGTTTTAGTGAGCTTAGTTTAATTATTTGTGTACTACCAAATCCAGTGAAGTTTAGGCATTATTTTGATCTACGTATGTATATATGTGCGCGCGCACCCTGTGTTTTATTTTAAAAGCGTTATAATCTCTTCTATACATTATAGGGTGGGAGCAGGAGTACAACGGAAAAAAATAAATAAATTGTGAAAATATTCTCCCTTGCTGAAACAAAACGTTTGTGTGCCACTCCCCTTTCCTGATTGTTAGCGTTCTGTCTTTTTAACTGAGGCCTCTTTTTTATGGTAACCTCCGAATTGTGAAATTTACAATGCACAAAATTATTAAATAACTTTTGAATACAGAATTATCTGTCGTGGTTTCAAATGTTTTACTGAATCGCTAAGAGCGCATCCCGGCTTTTGAAATGAAACCAAATGAAGATGGGAGTCTTAAGGATGGATGTTTAAACAATGCACCGTGAGGCTTGAGTGAATTTCGTTATTTTTTTATGAGGACTCCCTCTGCTGGATCTGATTACTGGACACAATCTATGTGAATAATAACATCATGGCTAGTGTGGGATGATGTTAGTTTTAAAGAACGCCAAAGAATACACACCCATCAGAAGCTGAATTTAGCAAATTTGTGTTGCAACCAGATGATTCCAGAAAGGGAAAATTAATGTCTTTATCAGTCAACCGGTTAGCAGTGTTGTCGAACAAGATTAGCTATGTTGCTTATTCCTAGCCAGCTAAAAAAGGAATTGTTTTTGGATGTACTGGGATGGAATGTAGTAAGATGGATTTCCTAGAAGGAGAGGGGTTGCATCCCAAAAGAGTAAGAGGCAACTTGGTGTCCAGATTTTACGTGTGAGGGTGTGAAGACAGCTCCTTCCTAATAGTTCACAGATAGTAGAGTCCTTTAGTCTGGCAAGATTTTGTTTATAAATATGAAAGCAGTAACAAGCTCAGCTTGGAAGAATCACGTGTCATTCCTGGTTTTGGGTCTGATAGGTACAACTTACAACAGTTCCTTTAGTGACGGTTCAAAGTTACAACAGCTTGTAAGACCGTAGTAGCATCCCTATGGTCACATGATCAAAATTCAGGAGCTTGGCAACTGGCATGTACTTATGTTGGTTGCAGTGTCCTGGGTCATGTGATCCCCTTTTGCGACCTTCTGCCAAGCAAAGTCAATGGGGAAGCCAGATTCACTTAACAACATAATTACTAACTTAATGGCAGTGATTCACTTAAGAACTGCATCAAGAGAGGCTGTAAAATGGGGCCGAGCTTACTTCATGACTGCCTCACTTAGCAACAGAAATTTTAGTCTCAATTGTGGTCGTAAACCGAGGACTGCCTGTACCTAGTTTTGGACAAGATCAAAACATTGTTTAGTAGCAGTCGTAATAGTAGTAACGCTATTATTCATTTTGCACCAGTAATTAAAAACAGTACGGGTACAGAATTCCAGCTGAAACAATAATACAAGAGAGTTAATCCCTTATAATGGGTGGTTTATTAATCTAATAACCAAATGTAATCATGCGGTCTTTTCCATTTTAACTGGATCCTATTCCTGTTCCTTATGTCCTTCCCCTCCTCCCCGCTTGGATATTTTAACTATTTTCCTTTTCCTTTAGGTCTTTATCTCCTCAACCTCCCCTTTCCCCTTTCCCTTTCATTTGTTTTCCAGATAGATGGATGATAGATAGAAAGGAAGAGAAAGAAAAAAGAAAAAAAGAGACAGATGAGATGATCCATAGAGGAATGGATGGATAGATAGAGGGTAGATATGAACTGCAATTGGTTTATGCTAAGTTTTATTTTGATTTTGTTCTGACTTTTTGGATAGCTCTGATCATTTTATTGAAGAACCAACAAGTGTGGAAGACTCCAATATTTCATTTGATGAGGGAGAAAAAATTTATTTTCTTTGTCATCTTGTTAACATCCTTTATTCTGTCTCCTTATTTCTTTCTGAATCTCAAAGGATTGAAAAGGCCTTGAAAGTGTTGTTTTGCCGTTTTCTAGATTTTTTCCCCTCCATTGTTATATGACACTTCTTGTCACTGTAGAGAAATAAACATTACAGACAAGCCAGATAAAATCTTCTCGGTCCTATTTTATTTAAGCCATCCAACATAGGTTTAGAGGGGTTTTTTTTAATGGTCAAACACAATTTATACAGGAATAATGTATCATTCTGTGCCAATGAGCAATATGTTTTGATGCGTTTTTGTTTAGATGAGTTTAAATAACATTCAAACATCCTGGATGAATGTTATTTAACTTTCCAACTTCCTTCTAACTCTTAAGAGTCTAGTATAGGCTCTTTAAAGTTCATTGCTCTAAAAATAAATGAAGCTGCATTGGGCATAATGTGCCCTTTCTCTCTCCATTATGTTTTGACTTTAATAGCTCAGTGACTTTGCACTCTGCTGTGTTTCTGCTTGCAAAGAAGTCATTATTCTCTTATTGCTAACTCAGTATCTAAAAAAGCTGTTTGATTATTCAGCTGACTCTAAAATGAATTATGTTTTAGAAAATATAACTATTCCGGGATGCAGAGCTGCTTCTGATGTACAGCATGCTGGAGGGAAAGCACCTTTTTTGGAAAAAATAATAATCCAGTTTTTAAGACTAGAAATAATCAGAACAATAAGCCAGAGGGGCAGATTCTCTGTGGACTGCAAAAACACTTCGAGAAGAAGTGAATACATTTTATTCTGCAACATATGTCCATCTCAAATGCAAGTTGTACTTTTATACTCCTTTCGTTCTTGTTTTAAGAATCACATTTTTTATATTAAGGAGGTCCTTCAGAGCAAAACAAATTTTTGTCTTAAGTTACTCTTAGGACAGGCCTTCACGCAACAGAAAGAAACCAAACACTTTCCGAATAATTATAATTATTATTTGAGTTTGCATAAGAGTTTTCATGTCTATGGAGATTCTCAGTCATCCAGGTTATGGTTGTCCAAAGGTGCTTTTTCAAGAGGCAACTGGAAACCAGAAAGTCTTGAAAAAGCACCTTTGTTATAAGAGTTTTAAGAAAATTAAAAAGGGCAAGAAGACAAGGGTACTTGGGAGCCACTTTTAATAACAGGATTCCTGGAGAACAGTTTTGATATAAACATCTCCAGTCAGAAGTAATTCAAGCACACCTGTCCTAAGATAGCCTGATACAGGTAGTCCTCATTTAGTGATCTTTCAAAGTTGCAACGGCACTGAAAAAATGATTTATGTCTGGCATCCTCATGGTCATGTGAGTTTGGCAACTGGCATGTCTTTATGAAAGTTGCCAGCCAGCTTCTGACAAGCCAATTCAAGGGGGGGAGGGGGAGCAAGATTCGCTTAACAACATGATTCACTTAGCAGCAGTGATCCACTTAACAGCTGTGGCCAAAAGTTCACAAATGGGTTGTACAAAGTTAGCACCCACCCCCTCTTAAAAGAATGAAATATTTTAGGAAACATTAAAAAGGCAGAATATTAGTATTTTCCCTTAAAGGAGAAATATGTTTCTAAAGACAGAAACTCTAGCCAAAGCTCTCAGTCCCAAGGAGAAACTAAGGGGCCAACTTTTAGAAATGCAGATTTGGTAATCCATTCAAGACAGGATTAAAACCCCAGGGCACCTAGGATTAATTATGAAACAGGATTTTAAAAAACCCAACTCATTGCTTGCCTTCCTGAGACAAATTAATTAAAATCAAATAACAAAATTACACAAAACAAGCCTCTAGATTACAAAATGCTGTAGAAGAAACTGTATGTTCTGTACTCATCAAACCAATTGGTCAGCTGCCCAGGACCTCAAACCCACGTGGTTCTGTTTCATCAATAAACCATCTTTCCAATCAGCCTCCATGTTTCCAGTGTCTTTCTCCCCACTTGGAACTGAACCTAGATGGATATATTTCTTCCAACAGGAGCAAAACCCCACTTT